TTGTTATCACACATTGTTTTCACACATCACTATTCTGCCCATCACTTTATTGTCATTTAACTCAATTGGCCACAAATTGCACCAAGCTGTGGCTGAATGAACTACTGAACCTCACAAAATGTATTTGAATGGGAGTCAAAATCTAGTCAACATGAATATACTCTAAATAGTAAGTCATTGCAGGTCAATAAGCAAAAGTAGGTGCATGCAAATTAGATGTGGATCTCATTTCTGGACTTTCTGAAAATTCAGTTAATCCTATTAAATTATCTATTTCAAGTTATATAAAATCACCCCTAGCTCATTGTCATCTCATATGTTAATTCTCCTTTTTTTTAAAGTTACACTATTTGCTCGAAGTCTGCATTGCGATCATTTAAAAATGTTCAAAAATATTTTCTGTAATGCTTTCTTGCATTAGTTTTTTATGAATTAAATCAGCACTGTAAATAACTATTTGGTTGCTTTCATGTTTTAAGTGTACATATTTAATTAAGTAAGGTAGTGTGCCTATAAATTTGAACTCCGTATCTAAAAACTTTCTAAAAGTCTTATTGCTAAAGTATCCCATTTGAAAGTGGATGTATAGTGTTTTAATATATGTCCTTATTATTGTAAGCAATTAAATTTTTTTTGTTATATATGAAATATTGCATATGAATATTTCATATTTACCACAGTTGATGGTAAGCTCCAAGCAAAACGGTACCTTTTCAAAGTGTCATGAACCAGTACTGTAATGCTTTGTACATCTCCTTAAAAAAAAATCAGTGATGTCTCAGATTCGACTCCTAAAAAAAAAAAGCCATTATTCACAACCCCATGTAGTAAAACATGATCAATATAGTTTTATTTATCAGTAAGAAATTAGATTTGTGTTGGCCACACACGTATCGATATGATTCAATTCAGTTGACCATTTAATGCAACTAAACTTATCAAATTGAATACAAATCACAAATCAAAGATCCTCCAATAAATTGTGTTACTAAGTTCTAGTGATGGAATTTTGTTTATCACTTTAAATTGAATAAATATTTGCATGTGTGTCTAAGAATTGATAATAATAATAAAGATTAAAGCAGAACTCCGGAAACATTTTTAAATAACCTTTGCAATGGGGCTAGCCCCGCACTACAAGGGTTAAGTGCTCGTTTGTGTCTAGGTGCTAAAATAACAAAGATATACTCACTAATCTGTCACAACGCTTCCTCAAGCCTGTCCCTTCCTCTGCAGCAGATTGGAATGTTCCTCAGCATCCTCCGGTCTATGCACTGTGTATAGACCTGATGATTTACTGGACCTTACACCACTGCAGAGGAGGCGGAGAGACATTTCAAGGACCGGTCTAAGAAGAAGTCGGCTTGGAGTGTTGGGTGAATTTTACTTTGGGTTTTTTTTTAACCTAGACAAAACTGTTAACCCTTGCAGTACGGGTTGATAAAAGAAATTCCTGGAGGTCTGCTTTAATTAAACAATAGTTTTTAATAGGTCATTCAGATTTATGACCAATACATAGTATTGCTATCAGTAAATTCAAAGTGTGGACCAATATTGTGTGTGTGTTGCATTGTTCCATATTTGAATTGATCGATGAATCACTTGTGTGTGATTTGTTGGTACTTAGATCACGAATTGCTACATGTATGGCCACCATTAGGTTGATTTAGTGAAATTTAGTGAATGATTATGCACACTTGCAGTGCTTCCTGAACTTCCTGGTTCACTGAAAAATTTCGCTTGTTGCCTGGATGAATTGTTCAGATTAAAATTTTAGCATTCTTTCCATAAATTCCACTTTTCAATTGTTTACATTTTATTTTGATATGACTTTTACCTTTTTACTTGCCTGATGTTGCAAATGTATGGCTAATAGCCATCTGTACGTTTAACAAGTTAAATCAGGTTCCTTAAAATGTATTTCTGCATTTGCAGCCAAATTGGGAAAACACCTATTTTATACTGTATTTGTTACATATTTCTCATGCACACAGCATAACTTAACTTTTTTTTAAATTGCTGCTTGTACAATACATGCTCTATTTTGAAAGAGAAGAGGGGCTGGGCAGGTTTATGTTAACATAATTAACTCTATATATACTGTGCTGGTGGATCTCATTATCCGTTGTAAATTACATAGTTACATAGTAGGTGAGGTTGAATAAAGACACAGGTCGATCAGGTTCAACCTATATATATCTATCACATAGTTTCATAGTAGGTAAGGTTGAATAAGGTCCATCAGGTTCAACCTAGTGTATGGTGTGTGTGTGTGTGTGTGTGTAATGCTAGGAATTTCCATAACCCTGTATGTTTTGTGAACTGAGGCACTCATCCAAGTGTTTTTTTTAAGCATTTTTCTCCTGCTGATACATCCATCTGTGGAAGTGATTTCCTAATTTTTACCACTATTTAAGTAAAACACCCCTTACGCAGTTTAAGATTATACCTCATCCCTCCAACTTCATATTGTGCCCTCGCGTCTTCATCAAGGTACTTGGTTTTAGTAATGCATTCCCAATACTTCAGTCCCCATTGATGAGTTTGCAAACTGTGATCATGTCACCTCTTAAGCGCCTCTTTTCTAAGGAGAACAATCCTAATGTTTGTAGAAGTTCTTGATAACTCAGAACCTCCATCCCCCTTATTAATTTGGTTGCCCTTCTCTGAAAATTTTCTAGCTCATGGACATCCCACCTAAGGATTGGTGACCAGAGTTGAACCATGTACTCAAGAAGGGGCCTTACCAGTGTTTTGTAAAGTGGGTAAATGATATTTCTATTCCATTAATAAATCCCTCTTTTAGTTGAAGATGATATACGACTAGCTTTATTAGCTGCAGCTTGGCACTGCATGCTATCACTGAGTCTGTGGTCTATAAGGACCCCAAGCTCTTTCTCCATTTTCTGCAGCGAAACCCCTCTCAAGGTGTTTTCAGCATGCGTGTTCTTAGCTCCCAATTACATTATAAATTAAAGTTCAAATACATTCGAACAATTTTTGTCCTTACAAAGAGTTAAAGATTTAAACGAGTTCTGTGTGAATGAGGGGAATCTGTCTGCCCCTATTCTTTTTATGGAGACAGCCAGAGTTTCCTGACACTTGGAAATTGAGAGAGAGGCTTACACAGTCCTGCTACACAGATACATCTAAAAGGTAAGAAATATTTTAAAAACTGTTTGGGTATTTTGTATGAATGGGAACACATAACAAACATATTGTGAGGATTCCTTAAATTTTGCTGCAAAAGTGGAAATGCACTTTGAAGCTGAACTCCAGTCCTACCTACAGTCTTACACCGCTGTACAGGATCCTCTCCTGTACCTAAATTCCTTGCTCTGATTTTACTGCACACTGTGAGCTTCTGACAAAAGCTAAGAGAAGGGAACGAAGGAGTTTAAAAAAAAAAGGGTAACCTAAAATTCCAACTCCAAATTTTAGGGTTCAAATAAATTAGGGTTAAGTAAAAAAAATGTAATAAAGGCAGCAGAATCATGTTTTTGGTACAAAATATTTTTTTTGAATATGGTGCAACGAACAAGAAGGAACATACTGTATAAACTATATTTAATAAGTTTACATACAAACAATTGTGAAAAACATTTGCTAAATAAACACATAAAACTGTCTTATTAAGGGAAGTTCACTAGGGGTCTGGCTTTTTAAAGGAAGTTCACTAGGGGTAATAAAGGGGTAAATAATGCAATTGTAGCTATCGTTCATAAATAAATGCAGATAAGGGACGAGCTGTCAAAGTGATCGCGCAATCCTGCAAAGAGAGAACACTTCAGAGCTCCTCAGCAGCTGGGCGTTGTGATCTGTTTTACAGAGCTGACAGCTGTCACATCAATTTAATGGAGTGCTGGTGGTTACACAGGGAGAGCAATGATCTCCCAGTGTAATTTACAGGAATGAGCTGCCTGAGCTGTCAGTTTGAAAGCCGCCCACCTCAGATACGCCCCACACACACCATGCCTAAGACAAGTGCCTCTTCTGGCTCAGCTTGACCCTGCCAAGAGTTTAGTTTTAAATTACACTTGCATCAGTTTACAGAGATTAGCATGTACTATAAAATAATCTCACAAAAAATGCACCTGTGACATTTTTTATTTTTATTTATTGCGTGTACTGCTTTATTGAGATTTCCCGAAAGAATCCACAATAAATAAACATACACAGGATGTTGGAGGTCCAGTGAAATCACCCACTGCAAAACCAATTAAGACCTATAAAATAATTCTGGACATTATTTACGTTGGGAATTATGTACTTGACCACACTGAATTGGCCGGGTGGACTCTATGAGTAGACATATATGAGCAATAAATGTATATTTACATTTATTCTCATGACAAGAGAGACTTGGTTACTGCTGTATGAAAGCTAGCTTTATTTGTGCATATGGGGATGTTTCCCTTCCAATGTGATAAGCTATATATTGCCATTATGGATGATATTTGCTAAATACAAGTCATGGTGGAATTGAAGCATTATGCCTAAATTTACTGTAGGATATGACAGCTAGATTATTGTTCTAGGAGATATGTTGTCCTAGATTGTTCACTTCTCCTGCCTTCTCCAAACTCTTCACCCTTTTGGCCCTGTAAAATACATTGTATCAATTTTGTCTGTTTAATGCATAAAAACCGCAGACAAAAGTATGCAAATAAGCAAAAAAGCATGTTAAAGATACACTATTCCTCTGTAATATGAAACCAATTAGGGCTCCCTGATTTTTTCCTTTTGAAACTTCTATTTTGAAATATTTAAATCTTTTGTCAACAAATAATTGTAATGCTTTCTACTATCTTTTTTGGCAAATCTTTTTGGATCTACTAATTAGCAGATCAGAAACTGTGAAGACCAATTTATGCATTCTATCATTTTTTTTGCTACCATTTTTTTGTTGTATGTCCTCTTTTCAGATGTCTTTTAACATATTTACCTGCATGCCTCCATTTTTATTTTATTTTTTTGTTGTTTAATATTTCTTTTTGCAGATAAAATCGAGGAGGGCAGAACATCCACCACTGCCATCCCTGCCTCGCAGAATAAACATTCAGAGGATGCATTTGGTTCTGTTCCATTTATTTCTGCTTCAGGCAAGTTCATTTGTTGAATACAATGGGCAAATGCATGTAATTAAGTTTGTTACTAAAATAAGCCTAATGCACTTACATTCCTGTTATAGTAATATTAATTTTAATACTCAAAAGCTTTTTACATTAGGATCTGAAATTAGGATAATAAAAAGGCATTGTACCCTAAAATCCAGCTAACCTAACTATTAGTTTGCTATGTAGCCAGATGCAAGTGGTTACATAAACTATCAATATCTATAATAGTCATATCAGCTGCTTCAACTTTAGGTGCATAGCACACTGAAAGTTGTGCTGCTGGCAGCTACCCAACAGCAGCAGAATTACTGGGGTACAGTTGCCATATTGCCCCATCAAAATCTCTCCCATGCTGGCAGAATCTTGATAGCTAGCGAGGAAGCAGCAGTGTAGCAACATCTCACTGACTTGGCTAGTAAAGGAACTACATCATAAGAGAAGGCAAGGGGCTTTTAGAAGGGACCTCAAAGTGAATTTGTACTAACCTCCTGGTCTTCAAAGTGGCAACAGGATATAAGTGCAGAAATCCAGAGAACCTTGAAAATCTTCTCAGCTGCTTGAGTTCCCAAAGAACCCCAAATCCCAGAGTGCAATACCAAATGCAAATACCAACATCCTATCAAAAAGCTATAGTTTTCTCTGACCCCCCTAACTGCCTGTGTCTCATGAATGCCTCATCAATATAATGAACTGCCTCACTGATCTGTCATGACGGGTGGGTGGATGCAGGGCCAGGCACCCAGCTTTATACTAGTAGTTAGTACTTGCAAAATTTGCGATCCCAGGGTACTTGCAAAAGTTAGCCACTTGAAGTCCGGGGTGTTAAACCCCCTTCCCATCCAGGCCATTTTTCAGTATTCTGTGCTGTGGTACTTTGACTGACATTTGTTCCGTTAGGGGGGATAACATTTGTTCTGTTAGGGGGATAACAATCCCCCTATATAATAGCAAAGGCACACTGACAGGTCCTCTTTATGGAGACATTTGGGGTCTCTAGGACCCCTAATGTCACCTGGGGACCCAGAAAGAAGCTGATGAAGCAGATGACTGACAGGTGAATGTGGACGTGATGTAATGCATATCACTTCTGCATTCACAGCACGGAGGGAGGTCAGCAAAGAGGAGGATGCTGAACTCCCTCTCAGCTTACTTCCTGATGCCTAACAAATCACCCCATACAACCGATCGGCGGCTATGGAGCCGCTGATCGGTTGTATGTGAAACAGCCGGTAACAGCTGTGCAGAACGGACGGGTTTTACCTGCCTGTGCACTAGCAGGAAAAAAATGCCGCCTGGAGACGGCAACCCGCAAATGCGAGTCTGCCGTCCGTCCGTTTTTTCTCAACGGGCGGACAGCAGGAGGTTAATGAAGTGGTGTGCTGGCATATCTATCATTAACATGATATGATTATAGGTAACATATAACATGATTATCATAGGTATTGTTTGAAAGGAAACCTGCGCTGAGAGAAATATGCAGACTCCTATTGCTGATCTGTCTTTCTGAAAAAGTTACTGAACTAAAACAATTATGCACATGAGATGTTCTGACTCCACACTTTAGGTCGGTGACTTAACTGTAAGCTAATTACAGCCAGACCATTAGCATTAATAGAAGGAGGTGAGCAAAACAATCTATTTATGCCTCTAAGCTCAGGATTCCTTTACCAGCCTAAAACAGGAGTAAATATTTGACTATTAATTGAAAGTAATATTATTAATCACGGTTTTTATGTGAAGCTGCCTATGGACAGTAGAGAGCAGTCTAATGTGATGTTGCAACCAGCCTGAGACATAAGTAGAACATTTATGTTTAGGTGAGTGGTGCCAGGAGGGCGAGAAGACACCTGCAGCTTCATCCGCAATTACAATCCGTTTTCTTATCTAAGGGGGGTTTTCAGTAGTCTGTTAATATATACAGACCTCAGGAGTTTTTCCTAAACCGATTTTTTTCTTATTTTTATTAGTAGTAAATCGTACAAAATATAGTACTTGGAACATCAATAATATGAAAAAAAATGTGGACTTTATTATTAAAGCTGAACTACAGGCAGTTATAAAAGGCATAAAATAATGCAGTAATGTTTTCATACACATCTAAAAACCTCCCTACTATCACATTGTTAAAAAATGGGGAGAAGGTGGATGCCTATTTTTTCGAATGTGCCCCACTAATCTCTGCCTACTGGGTCATCCTCAGATGGCTCAGTGTGCCGAGTCGTTCTGAGCGTCTTGGTACCTTGTGATTGCTGTGATGACTAATCACAGCAGTTACATGTTACTGTTTACTTGGAAGATCCCTCTACTTCCCCTTACATCAAAGAAGGAGAGGAATTGTAATTTGTGAAGCTGCTGACTCATTTATTCATTCTTACTGACTGAGATTTTTTTTTTTTTACTTTTTCAGTCGCTGCCTTTCCAGTGAAAAAAAAGCATTGCAAAAAATAAATGATGTACATTATATATTTTTATATATATATATGTGTATG